CTTCCTTCAGAGAGGCTGTGGGTCCTCTCACGATTGCTGGTTTGTTCTTGCAGTCGACCTGGAGCTGAAATTTACAGTGCAAGCCTCCACATGCTGCTCTGTCCGGAGGTACAATCTAGTCCTGCCTCCCATCCACCATGATGGCCCAAATCCTTGGGTTCTCTATTTTAAGGACACCAATTATCCTAATGTTGTATTATCTTTGTTTTCCATAACTCTGGAACTATTAGAATCTCTCTAAATAATTCATTACTTTGGTTTTTAATTGTATTTTCTTTGATTATCTCAAGTTTTCTTCTATGTCATTAATTTTTATTTTTAATAATATGTATTCTGTTTCTTGCAGTTTATAATTTATTATTAGTTCTGTAATGGTATGATTTGATCCTTAACTTGTTGCCTTTGGTCTGTGATCTCCTAAAAGGTTGTGAGAAAATGACTTATGCTCCTTAATTTTGTTTTCTTCTATGTATATTTTTTCATGATAACTCCCTCTCTCTCTTTCTGTCTCTTCCTCTGCATGCAGTTTCCTTTCCCTTCATTTCTGTTCAAACTTGCATCACTCCTGTCTCTAGACGTTCTGTTTGTTGTAGTAAATGAAATTCTCTCTTCTCAATCTAAAATTAGTTTGATATCTCCTCTGAACTACAATTTGAGGCCAATGTACCACATTCTATTTAGTCTTCAGTACTCTGCAAGAGATTGGAGTGAGGAGTACAGTTTAAGAAGGTGAACAATCTTTGGTAGCATGCTTAGGGTCTGCTCTTTCCCTTAAGATTCTCCTACATCTGTCATTCCAGAACCCACCCCCCTAACTGGAGGTATATCTCAGTTCCATTGGGGGATACTCTCAGCTTGTATTATTTCCCAATTGTGTTCCAGAATCTCTACCTCTTTTAAGGTGGAGACCCTTTTTCACTCGTTTCTCCACAGCAGATGTTTCCACCATTCTGTTCAGAACAATTAAAAGATCAGCTTTTTTTTTCTTTTTCTTTTTCTTTTTTTTTTTTTGAGACAGGATCTCATTCTGTTGCCTAGACTGGAGTGCAGTGGTGCAGTCAGCTCACTGCAACCTCTTTCTTTCAGGTTCAAGTAATTCTCCTGCCTCTGCCTCCAGAGTAGCGAGGACTACAGGCATGTGCCACTATGCCCAGCTAGTTTTTGTCTTTTTAGTAGAGACAGGGTTTCACTATGTTGGCCAGGCTGGTCTTGAACTCCTGACCTCAAGTGATCCATCTGCCTCGTCCTCTCAAAGTGCTGGGATTACATGCCTGGCCAAAAAGATCAGCACTTTAATTATATGTATTACTTTCTAGATTTTGAAATATAAATTAGAAATCTCAGGTTTTTGGATAGGAGCTGAGCCATGTTGTCTCTCTGCTTCACTCTATGATCTTCATCTTTTCTTAGCACCATGTTTTGAAGTGTATTGCATTATATTATGCCACTGAGGTTGCTGACAATGACTTTTAGGGGTTTTTGAAAAGTTTTCCAATTTTGTAGGTAATATGGGAGGGCAATTTAGTGTAGCCTTAATGAAGTTGAATAATGCCTCCTGTACATAGTCCTGGACTTGTATTGTCTACTTGACCACTAGTGACCTAAGACCAAGACACTTTATTCTGCCACTGGTCAAACCCTGAGTTCATGAGAGGGTGTTCAAACAGCCAACTGTGGCATGAAAAAGGACAAACACGTCCTCGAAGTGTCCTCCAAGCATATCTTGTTGTTTAGGAGGGAGATATTATTTTAACCCTTTACATCTGTCACCAAAAACTTACCTCTTTCAGGGCCTGAGCTCCCCAGAAATCAATGTTCTAATTAGAAAACAGTAGCTAATCTGCCCAAATGCTAATAAATGAGAGTTGTGATTTATCTAGCAACAGGGAACAGCTCAGCAGTAACAATTAAAAGGTCTGTAGAGGACAGAGCTTTTTCTCCTTACTCTTCCCCTTAGCTGATTGAGTTCAGCCCTATGCTATAAATAGCCCTTGTAATTAATGGCTGTTTGAAAATCAGTTATCAGGACCACAGTTTAAGAGCCTTTACCTCTGAAATTCATAGAGCCTATTTTATGTCTCAGTGACAAGGGAATGATAATGTGAGTTCAAAGCTAAACCTACCTACCCACAAAGACCCAACCACGTGATAGCCTACCAAGACATTCTTCAATCTTCATGATAATGGATACAGATTTTTAAATAATCAATCCAACTGCAAGGACAAGTACTGATCTTTAATATGGCCAGAATGTTTGGCTAAAGCCTGCTGCACCCTAGTAATTTCATGAATCTATAAGCTAAAGTCAAAATTTATATCAAAGGCATGAGTTTGCAATTAGCTGAACAAGGTCTTTTAGAGACCCCCAAAGAGTTCATTTTTTTCCTACATTGAACAAATTAACAGTGTGGTTACTAAAGTTCTTCTTCACTTTAACCTGACTGGACACAGAGTTAAAGGGGGAAAATAGCATGTCTAAACCAAATTGAATAGTGATCTTCTAGACAACACTCCCCAGAAGGGACCGTCCTTGGGAAATGCCACTCAGTGCTAGAGTAAATCTCACATTTCAATGAAGGGTTTGTCATTCACAGTACAAGATGCTTGCACATCTTGAATGTTTTCTTCTAGTATTTTTTATTTCATTCATTATTGCCTAATAACATAATACCCATGCAGAGCTCCTAGCAGGTCCCAGAGCCTGCCATATTGTTTCATGACACTAGGCATTTATTAAAACTGTTTCAGCTATATACATGACCTTTTCTGGCCAGTTTGCATGTCATCTCCCTCTGTTAGGCCCCCAGCATCACCACCACCACCCTCCAACCTAACTGATAACTCCCTTCCTCAGGTTCCCACTCTACCTCTACATTTTTCTGTCTTAATATCAGTAATCTTTACTTCCACTTGATTGGTTTATTGTCCATCTCTCTCCAGGCAGAAGGTCTTATTCTTACTCAAATGTACATTTCCTATATGCTTGTTGACTATACAAGTGATTGGTGAACAACTACTGAGCACTCAGTCTTTGCTAACCCTTGGTAAAATTCAGAAAGATGAAGATTTTTTTCCTTTGCTCCCGATGAACTGATAAGCCAGTAGGGAAGGCAGACTTCTCTACAACTAGACACACCAAGTCAAAAAGAGGGGTCAAGGCAGGTGATGAGGCTGAGTTGTTAGTTGGTGAGGCAGCAAACACATAAAAGCTCACCATGTTTTAATGTCTCTTCTGTGATTTTCATAATCAAAACATACATGCTTCAATCATGTGTTTCACATTGCTTACTAATGTCTTTGCATTGTAACTCAGACCTGTGCTTCTAAACTAATGTGCACACAAATCACCCAGTGATCTTGTTAAAATGCAAATTCTTATTCAAGAGTTCTGGGAGGGGCCTGAGATTCTGCATTTCTAGCAAGTTCCCAGGGAATGCCAATATTGCTGATTCATGAATGCCTCAACCAGCAAGGCTCCACACCATTGTAATGTCAATGTAAACATTGTTGAAATGGCACCAGTTTTTGGAAAAGCTCCTGGTCTCCCTACCTAGACTCTTCTGACTGTAATTAAACATGATCAGCATTACACCAAGAGAGGTAGATTCAGCAGTGCCCAGAAAAAAACTGGCAAGATGCCTTGAAACTGTTACCTCTTGGCCTTTGTTTTATTATCTAAACACAAAAGGTCTTTGCTCCTGCACTTTAGGTCTGCTGCTACAAGATGAATATAGTCTGAAGGTGTGGCAGGTTTTTTCCAGATATTCAAGATTGCCTTTCTCTGCTAAAGTCTCTTCCATATTTAAACCATAACATCCCAGGCTCTTTATGGAAATAGAAATATCTTCTAAGAAAACTCTAAAACTTTAATCAGTTTAAACAATCATAAAAATAATACTTACGTGAATTTTACAAAGGAAACAAGAAGCTCTGGGCCAGGCATGGTGACTCACGCCTGTAATTCCAACTCTTTGGGAGGCTAAGGCAGAAGAATCACTTGAGCCCAGGAGTTCAAGACTAGCCTAGGCAACATAGGGAGACCCTGGCTCTACAAAAAAAAAAAAAATTTAAATTAGCCGAGCATGCACTTGTAGTCCTAGCTACTCAGGTGACTGAAGTGGGAGGATCACTTGAGCCTGAGAGTTCGAGTGTACAGTGAACCATGATCGTGCCACTGCATTCCAGCCTGTGTTACAGATCGAGACCTTATAAAAAAGAAAGGGAAGAAACGGAAGGAGGAAGGAAGGAAGGAAGGAAGGGAAGGATAGGAAGGAAGGAGGGCGGGAGGGAGTGGAAGGAAGGACGAAAAGAAAGAAGGAAGGAAGGAAGAAGGAAGGAAGAAAGAAGAAAGAAAGAAAAGAAAGAAAGAAAAGAAAGAAAAGAAAGAAAGAAAAGAAGAAAGAAAGAAGATAAAGAGAAGGAGAAACAAAAACAAAAATCCTCTGTAAGCATCCCATGGGAATCTGTTTTCTTAACTCTTAATGATTCCATGACAACATCTGTTAACTTTTTCAATTCATTAGAATCTACCACTCAAAATGAAAGTCAAAATCCATTAAACCACTAATTTCTCATTTGTGAGTTTTGAATTCTCTTTCCAAGTGGACAAGATCCCTACTTGAGCTTTTATCTTTTGTAGGTCTTCTTCCTCTCTTCCCCACATCATTCTTGGGCACTATTCTAGCCCAAACCAAGTGTCCTGTGTATGTCTTCTTCCAATCAGGTAGCTGTCACACTCCTCCTATCTACCATTCAACTTTGCCTTGCTATAATAGTATGCTATTTAACAGGCAATCTTGGTTATTTGGTCTCCTCTTGCATATTTAGTTTTTGCATCTTTTTTTCTGACAATGTAATGGTAAATTGAACAGAAGTGGAACTCTTTTCACTGGGCACAACATGTAGAAGGCAATGGCAGCCATAGCTTGCACCATGCATAGCCTGGAGTAGACAAACCTAAATGAACTTTCTTCCTTCTCACTTCTCATGGACTCATTTAGGTGAATGCCAAAGATGACGAAGGTGTCCTCGTTGGATCCTGGGACAATATCTATGCCTATGGTGTCCCCCCATCGGCCTGGACTGGAAGCGTTGACATTCTATTGGAATACCAGAGCTCTGAGAATCCAGTCCGATATGGCCAATGCTGGGTTTTTGCTGGTGTCTTTAACACATGTAAGTATCCAATTGAGTAATTTCTTTTTAATGTAAAGGAAACTTCACTTTAAGATATTTTATCGATAACCTAACAAAGAGACATCGCAGCCCCTGTTGGCACTATGGAATTTATGGGTGAGCATTCTGGGATGTAGTCAATGCATAATTAAATTGTAGTGGGCCAAATATGCTCATAGTTTCTCTTTGACTGCAGAATCTTTATAGAAAGAATGATAGACTATTTCCTGTGTAATCCATCACTTAACACCCGAAGAAATAGAGAGTTACAGTAAGAATGTTGAGAAAAAAGCCATTTTCTTTTCAGCCACCACATTTTTACAAAACTAAAACAGTTAAAACTAAAATAATAAATAAGGAAAGATATATAGTGCTTATTTGTCATTGAGAAGTTGTATAAATATGCGTATTTATTTATTATTGAGAATTTTATAAATATATCTACTTAATTTTTATCCCAGTTATGGAAGGTATTATAGCAGGTGGTCTCATATTCATTTTCACACATCTCAATGCCCCTGAGCAAATTAGAGACCAGAACATAATGAACAATCTTTCCCTCTCCAGTTTCCCTACTGGTTTTTAATCCACCCAACATCCAATCTGTAGAGGAAAGTATATGAGAACAGAATTATTCTCTTTAGTGTCATGCATCATTTTTCAAAGTGGCATTTGCCTCTCTAGACCCAGACACTATTACAATTAATTCAGTGAATATTTTTAAAAATACATTTATTTCAGTGTGTCTTCATCATTGGTAATGATTTTCATCCACAAGCCATTTCTACAGCCTTGGAGAAACATTAAGCTCAAGTTGGGGTGTCCCTTCTGCCTGCTCATTAATAAAGAATGTTTTACCCAGTTAACATTTTTTAAATCAAAAACAAAGGGAGGAGCTAGAGGCTGGAGGGAGGTCATTTTAAAAAATGATTACAAAACCTGCTTGTTTTAGCTCAAAGTCTCAACAGTCTAACACTTGGTGATCGAAGTTAAAAAAATAGTCGTGAGTTTTGTTTTGTTTTCCCATAGTATCAAACAGGATAAGATTATTTTCTTAGCCATTTAAATATAACCCAGAGAAGAAGGAATATGTATTTCTTCAGAGCAATAAAAATCAAAAGTATAGTCCCCTAGAAGCATTGGCCTCTGAAGTTCCAGATAAAAGCCTGAACTTCATGGTAGATTAAAGGTTGGAGGTCATCCCCTCCCTCGAGGCTCCCAAGTCAAGACAAGGTAAACGATGCCCAACAGAGGCAACCACTCTTGTGAAATGATTTTAGGAAGACAGAAAGGACCCAAGCCCTCCGCATGCCTACAATTTCACTATGCCAGTGTAATTCCTTCAGGCTCACAACCAGATAAAATAGTGAACACCTTACATCCATTCATGTCTTTGGCATAAAAAGCAGGCTTTGTGTGGTAAATTAAGAAAAGGCAGAAACACACTGTGGGGAAGTCACAATGAGAGTAAACCTGAAGATGGAAGCTGGGGGAAGGAGAAACTGGTGCCCTAAAGTCAAGCCTCACTTTCTTGAAATTATTGAGTAAGGCAGACTCTTGACCAAGTCGTGTCTGGGATAATGTGAATTAGTGTTCAGCCAGAAACAGAGTGAGAGTTGCAATCGTTTTATTGGTAAGACCCTGGGTGAATAGGGCTGAAAATCAAGAGAGGAAGATGGGAACAGGAGGCCTGTGTCAGCTGCCAATGTTGTTTGGGGCATTAAGATCCCCTTTAAGGAGGGGAACCCTTGAATCTCTACCAGACTCCCAGTTTGGACTTCCAAGATTGTTCTGTTGAAGGAGGTGGGTAGTCTTTGGTTAAAAATGCTAAACTATTCTGAAGGAGAAAATTAAAAGGCAAGCCAAGTCATTAATCTTAAAATTGTCAGCTGAATTATTTTCAATGAGCCCTGATGTCTGGCATCCTGGGAGCCAGGGAGGGCATTTGGATTAAGTTTAATCAATAGGTACATATGGCAAGAAAAGTATCCGGGTAATTTATTATCTAACAATTAAAATGAATCTGTGGTGTCACCCTCCAATGCATGTCACAAAAGTAAATTCTGGCCAAGAGAGCAAATTCCACCAAGGACCTGCTCTGTAAATTCCTAACTTCCTACTAGTGGGTTTTTGAAATTGTATTTTCAGGAACATTTTCCCATTCATGGGACTAAAATAATACTATGTTGATGATCATAGCTTAGAAACGAAACAATTAGAACCCTGTTGGGATTCTACTCTACTTGGCTTCATTTGACACCAGCTGCAATTCTGAAGGATCCAACAGCAAAATTCCTCTCTACCGCCCCCATGGGGTTGGATGACCACCCTTCTCCAGCATGCAACATTTGAGGATAACATGTCCAAAGAGCTTTTCATATTGGTCAGGAAGAAAGTCCCCTACAAGAACGCTTTTTCTCACTATGTGTTTATTAAATTCTGGTGATGTGTTTAGCTGTCGTCTGTCCTTTCCTGTAGTTTTACGATGCCTTGGAATACCAGCAAGAATTGTTACCAATTATTTCTCAGCCCATGATAATGATGCCAATTTGCAAATGGACATCTTCCTGGAAGAAGATGGGAACGTGAATTCCAAACTCACCAAGGATTCAGTGTGGTGAGTTTGATTGACAATGGCATTGGTTGATGTCACATTATAGTAATGTTACACATTTACCACAGACTCAGTCTGATGTTTCTTTCTGTTCTGTTTTGAGGACCATTCAATAGCATAGGCAGAAAAGTCTGGTTGTCAAAGAATGTCTTAGCAAATGAATTAGAAATGTTACTGAAGAGACAATTTGGGTTCCTAGTGATAAAAATCAATCATTCCTTATAACAGCAACCACCAAAAAAAAAGGTCATAGTTTTAGCTACTGCATATGCCTATACTAGTTCCTCTCTACCTTGATATATTAATCTTACAATTATTAGCAGAAGTATTGGAGCCAAGCATTCTCCGGGTCAGTGCCCTAGAAGTAATAGAGCTAACATTTATTAAGCACTTACTATGCATCAGTCTTTGTGCATGCATGATCTTATCCAATTCTTCTTAGTTTTATCAAGTGGATGTTATGAATATCCCCATTTACAAATGAGGAAACTGAGGCCCCAAAAGGCTTGCTCACAGTCATACATCTGGTGAGCTGGGAATAAACCCAAGTGCTTCTGACCATTAGCCAAAACCTTTTAAATAACTTCAGCAGTATAGGATTTCCTTTTGAATGTAAAGATGAGATTCTCCTTGATTATATTGTCACCTTTCATTGAGATATAGAAATGGACGTAAAGCTGAAATTGTTCCCCAAAACCAGCGGTGGGGTTCTCTCACTGCCCTGAACCGCTTTACCACAAACTGGCTAGAGGGAGCTTAAGATCCCAGGGAAATTCCATTTTTCCTTGAGACCCCCTAAGTCCAAATCAATACACTAAGAAGAAAGGAAAAAAATCCTAAGAGTTTAAATATAAATAATTTTTATCAAGGTCTGTGTGGGAGGATATTGGAGCATTAGTGCCTCTGCGGTCAGACATTGAGCTAGGTAGAACTTCTATGCCAAAAATGAGTCTCATGCACAAATAATAAAGCTAAAACACTATCTGTTGTAAAAGCATCCAAATGGGGATGGTAGGAAGTTTTAAGTTCATTTTAAGCAAAACTAAAAGTTAGAAGTGCCTGAACTTCCTCGTGTTATAGGAATGGATCACAGTTGTAGGAGCAGTATTAACTCACCAGCAGAGGCACACATTCATTGGAGAATGTTGAAATGAAATTGCTGAATGAGTAGCAAAGTGCTACCATGAATTAAAAATAGTACGGTACATTGGAAGGGAATGAGCTAAGCCATAGTAAGCTGGAGGGCACATGTAAGACAAAACCTTGTCTCTGTAAATTGAACAGAAATATAAAGAACGCTTTAAGCCTACAGAATTATAATATCTCAGCCCTGCATGTATATGGAATGACAAAACAGACCAAAATAGTCACCCAAAAACTCGTTGCAATTGTTAAAAATGACAAAAAGATAGTTATTTGGCATTCTCCATATCTCTTCCTTACACACACACACACACACACACACACACACACACACACAGCCTTTGTAGTTAAGTGCAGTTCAAAGTTACCCTTCCCAGCTCCTTGACAGATACCTCCCATCATCAAATAAGTCCCTATGGGACATTCCAACAAATAACCCCACAGGCCCTAAACAGAATTAATACAAAATTTTGAAGCTAGATCTTGCTCTTGGTACCCTGTCCTCTTCGATCAGGTCCCTGCTCCAAATTACTTCCCCCTTCCCTGACACCGTTTGTTCCTTTGTTGCCTCACTCAAATATCCAATCACCCTGGGACTGTAATTCCTGGCCTGGGACTCCCCACCCACCTTCCACTGCAGACCACTGCCCGAGACTCCTCTTCCCTTCCTTTGCCTGTCTTGTAGTAGGTTTTCAACGCATGATGCCTGATCAGATGCTCTGACTTACTGCAGGGCTGAGGCCAGCACAGCTCAGGACGTTCCCAGACCACGACACACAGGGATTAAAGGGCTCAGTGGGATCTGAGGCCAAGGCTTGGCTCTGTTACTGCCCAAGCTGTGTGACCTTGGGCAAGGCACCACCTCTCTGTGCCTCTTTTCTCCTCTAAAGCGAAGAGAACAATATTCCCTGCTTCACTCAGCACAGAGCCGAGCATAACAGGTGCCTAATGAACGTTAGCTGCTATTATTGCCTTCATTATTAGTCACACAGCTGGAATTTCTTGGAGGCAATATGTTTCCATCAACCCAAGTACATCAAAGTGGTCAGAAAAAGAGGGATGTCCAGTGTCCTAAGATGACTTCACTATTTCTGTTACATTGGGGTACTTTTAAAGAAGAAGCGAACACTTGGCCTCACCAGTGCAAACACCCATGCACCTTAGAAGTTATAGGTGGTCCAGGAAAATAAGAGTACGGCTAAGACCCTCCTGGGTTGAGGAGGCTGGCGACGGCTGTCGCCAGACATGTCAGCCAGGGCATGATCACCACAGTCACACCCCTCTGTCAAGCTCTGGCTTGGGCAGCTACTTGTTGCGTGGCTTTGAGAAAATGATTTCACTTCTCTGAGCTTCATTTTCTTCATCAGTAGAATGAAAGTAATCTTAGTAGTTACCATTTCCTGATGGGGTGGCTATAGTGATTAAATCAGGTCATCCAGGTAGAGTGCTTACCATAGAGGTGGGCCTGATGCTGATTCAGTTAGTAAGAAGCAGGGGCTGCCTGAGCAAATTAGTCTGGTGAGGAAGGGTGAGGGTGAGGGTTAGCGTGGAGGCTAAACAGGGGCTGAGGTGGGGGTAGGAATGATTTGCTAGGCATCAGCTGACCTCTGTGAGGTCAGGCTGGCAACACATGGCCTGATGGATTTCCTAGCAAGGATCTCAGAAGCCATTGGCCTCATACTTACCTCCCTCCACAGGCTCTGGTCAGACACACCCACCTCAACCTGTCTTCCCCGCTCGCGGCTGGTATGTGGCTGGGGCCCCTCTCCTCTCCAAGTAAAGGAGACCTGAGAATTATCTCTCATCCTCCACCATCTATTTCTTCTTCAACACTCAGGTCCCAATGGTCCACACTTTGTGATGAATCAATTTGTCCAGTTAGGTCTCGGTGACTCAGGATGTCCTCTTCTCCATGACTCAGCCAAAGCTCAGCCTGCCAAATCCAGAAATCAGCCAGTAGGGAGGCTCAGAGGAAGAGTACAAGAGGGTGTATTCTGCTCGCCACACTCCAGAGCCAGGAGTGACAAGTTTGGCTCTGTCTCTTGCTGTGACCCTTCTCGCCTTATTACTGCAGACCATCAAGGACAGGCTGCTTCCTGGTTTGCCACCTTAGGTCCCCTGCATGAAGGAGGTTTCCCTCCAAGAGGGAGCCTCACCTCAGGGGGGCTACAGTTTTGCAAAGAGTGGCCCCACTGTTGACACCAACAGAAGCCATGGTCTGGGCTCCTTAGCTGTTCAGGAGAAGGCTGGGGACTCAGGAACCTCAGAAGGGCACAGCGGGCAGAGTAATTAGATCCCAGGGTAGCAAATGAAACCCCAAGTGGGCAAATGCAAGGTAGCAGATCCCAGAAGGAGCAATTTTGGCCGCCTGTCCCCAGCGTGCTGATGAGTTCTGAATTCTATGTAACCTCTGGGGGGGAAGGCAACTATGAATCACTGTGGACAGTTTAATGAAGATGCTTGCTCAATGTTTAGCTGCAGTGCAAACATCAAATAGGAATATGAGGGCTCAGTTAGGAGGGAGTCAGGGCTACTCAGAGGGGCAGGGGGACAGCAACAGTTTGGCCTCACCTTGGAAGAGCTCAACTTGATCACCTCATTATACAAAGGTCACAGTCAAAGTGGAAACAATTTTAAAAGACAGAGATGGTGGCACTTACTAGGATCAAGAAAGATTTTTCAATGAAAGGCTTCGCTCCTTCTAAATGAAGAAGCCTCGCTGTGTTCTTTTGCTGCAGTGAGTGTGGTCTGACAGGATGATTCTGGGTGAAGGTTGGTGTCCTCCTCTCAGCTTATCCCCACCAGAATGCACCCACCCACGGGGGAGCAGTGTCTGATCTATTTTATTTTTGTTGTTTTGTCAGCCTGTAACAGTGTACAGGGCATAGAGCAAGCACTGAGGAAACAGAATTGGTTGGAAAAAAATTTTAATGCATAAAAACTCCATGCTGCAATGGGTGGTCTTAATCTATAAACAAAGCTTTTTCAAAGTATATTTTAGAGCAGAAATTAACCAGTTTTCACACCTGGGACACTGCCCTAATCAGTGTGTAATCCTAATTCTCATGCCCTCAGTACTCATATGGTGTTTTACACATTGTAGGTGCATTTTTGAAATTGAGACTGTTCTATACATTATTTTAGATGCTCTGTATGACTCATTTAGTTGGACTTTTATATTATAAAATTATCTTCAATTTTAATCACTGTCTGCAAAGCAGAAATGATCTAAACACGAATTCCAAATAAAATAGTATAGAAGAAAAAAATCAGAATATAGACCAAACTGCTTAAAGTGCTTAAGGGTTTGTAAAAATATCCCATAATGCATCGTGGTTGCCAATTCTGGACAGTTATCGAAGATGTTTATTTTCAAACATTTTCTTGTTAACTGTATTTCTGGCCAAATTGGTTTTAGGAAAATCACTTGGAGTTAGACCATGAGCCTTATCTTTAGAGCACTGAGAATATACACTGAAGGCACATAATAGTGTTGGAAAAAAACATTATTTGCCACCTTCAAAGAATAAAACTTCAAAGAATAAAAGTAGCTCATGTTCACAAAATACTTTTTTTTTTTTTTTTTTGCAATGCCCTGATTTAAGTGCTGACATGTATTAATTTACTTCTACCTCTTAACAGCATGTTAAGGTAATTACTGTTATTGACACAGTAACTTAACCAAGGCCCCTGCCAATAAGTGGCAGAACCTGAATTACAAACCTAAGGGGGCTGACCCCAGAGCCCACTCTTTTTAAAATAACGTCCTTATTGACCAGGCATGGTGGTTCACATCTATAACCCAAGCACTTTGGGAGGCTGACGCGGGAGGATCACTTGAGATCAGGAGTTCGAGATCA